TTAGATAATCAGTTCATAGTCTTCGAGATCGCAACATACTTAGATATTCTGATTTTAAAATAAATATCTGATGACCAATTTATTGGAAGTACTGTATGTATCTGAATTATTTGAAACGATCAAAATACTTTGGAGTTTTGAAATTACTAAAATAACCTTAGTACTAAAATGACCTATGTACCCTTATGACTTGGAAATAAGTGGACACCATTGGATAAATTCGGGATACACCGATAAACCTAAGTATTGTATTGCCCCTTAAAGGTTGGAGCACGACCCAAACAAGTCAGTCTTTCTTGTATATTATTGTATTACAAAAATAAATATTGGTATATATATTAGTCTCGTGAAGATTTGTTCAATAATGATTCTAAAGGCGATCAATTCAACTAGTGCATTTAGATTAAGAAGCGAATATTCGTGAGGGATCTCGGTTTGAATGTCTGACAAGTATCACAATATTGGGATCTGATTAGGATGATCTGACTCAAAATTCTGATAACTCAATATAAATACTGATAACTCAATATAAATACTGGATACCATAATTCATCGTGTTCCCATTATTGGATAACTTTTACTACGAATTCTCCTTATATCAAAATGACTAAAATGCTCCTGAAGCCTATATAGTGGAATCCCTTTGGTTATATCTGAATCTTAAATTATCCCGATGTAAAGGTTCTTGAATACCTTCTTGATGTACTCGAACCCTTTATGGTCCCGAAACATCAATTTCTAAAAGTGTGATTAGCTATGTTAGTAATCAAACGATTTTAATAGGGACCTTGTTCTTGAAATCAGATCAATTTTATGTAAGTTCATGTTTTCTATTCTTGATAATTTTCAAGTGGCTTCGAAAAATTCATGAATCCTCTAGTGTATTCCCCATGCACAAAGATGTTTTCTCTGATTTAAAAAAGTCTAACTCTATTATTTGAAATAAAAACATGATTTCTAATTTTTGATTTCTAATTTCTAATTTCTGATACAAGGTACAACTGGCTCCTGATTTATGATATTGTGGTTATTGTCTGAAACTGTTTTTATTTGGATATTGTTTGGGTAGGATCCTAGAATTCTGATGTTTAGTTCTGATCAAGCTGGTAATTCCTTACGGACCTAATGTGACCATTGGGTAAGCCCATAGGCCCCAAGGTACTCCCTTAGGTTAGCTTCTACTCCCAAGGGGCCTAGGATAAGTCCTTATGGATACACTTTTGGGGAACTACATATGGAGTGTTTGATTGGAGGGTAACTCTGAGTTTTAAATAAAATCTCGATCTCTTTTTTCTGATATATAATATATTTGGCTCCTCAACTTCGATATTACTGGTTAAAGTATGATCTTATTTTTTATTGGGTATTGTTTGGGTAGTTTTCTAAAATTTTGAGGTTCAACCCTGATCCAACTGGTAATTTCTTACTGTTATAGGGAAATACATATGGAGTGTTCGGGTGGAGGAAATTACAGTGATTTTAAAAAAATATGTTTTACTTAAATAAACTGCTATCGTTTTTTAAGTTATGATTACATTTAATCCAGTTTTGTGGGAACACACTAGACGTCCTATTACGATATTCTAAATCAGTTCCTCTGAACGCTTCCTTTGAACTGTAAGCTTCTTGTCTATTACCTGAAGAAATATAAGTGGAACTTGTATATGCCTGGATTAATAAGCAAGTTTTATGCTTTGTCATTTATCTGCATGTTCTTCAGCATCATCTGGTAGTTCTATATTACTGAGCTTTCCCAAAACTCACTCTGTTATTCACCTTTTCAGGTTAAAAGAATTGATCATGTGCAGTATCAACATCATAATGGGAGTTTCTTCGATGTTGCTTGCGAAATACAATACAAGTGTAATTATGGGAGGTTTTAATATATGAATGGTTTTTTTATTTGTATTTTTAATTATAATTGTTTTATGTTTTGAAAGGTTTAACAGGAATTTTTATTTTTCTCAAATTTTTACAGTGGGTTGCTCCAGTGGCTCTAATGTGACACCTCAGACCGGATCGGGTCACCCGTATCGATCTGAAAGTGTTACAATAATATTTTTTTTAAAACTATTGTTACATCGTAGACACTTAAAAGAATAAGACCCTACATTAAAGTAAACAACAAATATAATTTAGGTACTTATCTTTTTCTTAAGACAAAGAATAAAGAAATGTTAGTTGAAAAAGAACAATAACAAAAGATAATGAACCAGTTAATCTTTCATATAAAAAATAAAATATTATATTTTCAGTCAACATATGAATAATTCGTAAAAGGAGAATATACATATTGTAAATTAAATCCTACGATACTTAAAGATGACATTAAGTCACAATTTTCTCTTTAAAAGAATTGATCTCTAAGATAAAAGTCGGGCGGATGTATGTGAACTTGATGGAGCCAATTGCATGCCCATTATTTTAGAAAAATTGTTAATTCTAGTTTAGTTTATTAAGTGAAATGGAAAACATAAAGAAATTTGCATACCCATTTTTCTTAGAAAATAGAATATTAAAATTTGAACTCCATTATTTAACTTTTAGATCCGCCACGGATAAAAGTACATACTAATGTAACTTTGACGGAATAAATAACCAAAAGATCTACATATAACTATTGGTTCATTGTTGGAATAATCATGTTACATAGAGAAACAAAAAATAGTATGTGATTTCAAGAAACAATGCAGGATCCGAATTTCAAGTTCTTACCTCAAGAATTTGTGAATGCATATAGATCAGAAGCTATTAAAAGAATTAAAGGTTGAGTTTAAGGATTGTTTTAAGGTGAAAAGTGACATTCAAAAATCATATTTATCGTGAGGGAATAAAACATTCAAAAATTGATACACTTTATTTCAGGGGAAGTCGATGACAAAATTGTTGAAGTAAATTCCACTTGCACTCAAATTCGGCTTCTAAAAATTCCTACAAGATTCAAGAACTAATTTTGATCCAAGTTCAAAACAGAATTTGTACAGCATGCACGCCCGAATTTGAGGAGTGTAAAAGGCTGTCGACAATAATAAATTTTATTTCACTTAAACTATTTTATGAGATCAAATTCAATTTATTTATATTGTCATACTTTTTTAACGAATAACTTGAAAATGAAAGCAGAATGGAATTTGAAAATAAGAACAAAATAAAACAATCAGACAGATTCGGGTGCCGATTAGGGGTGCACAAAAAATCCGAATATCCGAATATCCGAAAAAAATATCCGAAACCGGTTTTGGGAAAAACCGGTTTTTTTTTAACCGGATCGGATTTTTTTAAACCGGTTATTTTAACCGGTTTGGAGAAAAAAACCCAGACCGGTTTTTTAACCGGATAAAAAACCGGTTTGAAAAAAACCGGTTAAAAAACCGGTTTTTATCCGAAAAAAAAAACCGGTCTGGATTTAAAAAACTAGCCGTTAATATAGCCGTTTGTGACCGTTTTTTACCCTTTTTTTCTGTAAAAAATTACTATTTTAAATGTTCCCCCCATTTTTACTTGTGCCGCCGCTTTAAACCCAACGTTAAATGTTGGTGGGGTTGAAACACTAATTGAACAAATTGCGTTTGCTTTTAATCTAACCGATGATGAACCCAACTTTGTCCAAAACCAAATAAATTATTTTAACAAATGTTTTCGACATGTTTGCAATTTATTTAACTAAATACGGATCAAGTAGTGTAATACACGATCAAATGAGAATGAATGCGGAATCATCTAGTAGACGTCCAAGTAACATAAATTTGAATCTTTTTAACACTCTTGTAAATTCCCAATCCAAACGATCACGTACTACCACCCCAAGTAGCGAGTTGGGAAATTACATGTCATGCGATTTTCTATCAAAAATGACATTTGAAGAGTTTGAAAGTTTGGATATTTTGGCTTGGTGGAAAGAAAAGGAAGCACAATTTCCGATTCTAGCCGCCATGGCCCGTGATTTACTAACCGTCCAAGCTTCTACGGTAGCTTCGGAATCCGCTTTTTCTGTTAGTGACAGGGTTATATCACAACGGAGATCAAGACTAAGTCCCGAGTCGGTGGAAGTATGCATTTGTTTAAAGGATTATTTGGATGGAGCGGCTCGTAAGCAACATATCACCACCTAGAAGATGCAATTGATGCCGATTTGGAAGCAAACTTACACATTGAAGAAGTCGAACTTGGAATATCTCCTCCAAACGAAGAAGGCGAAGATGAAGAAGAAGAGATGGCAATGTAGTTTATTTTATAACTTTATTTCAATTATCGTAAACTTTGTTTCAATTATCGAACTTGAAGATTTTAAGTATTTGAATTTATCGAACTTAGAAGTTTTTAAGTATTTGAATTTATCAAACTTGGAAGTATTTAAGTATTTCAATTATGTTGAGTTAATTAAGTATTTCAATTTATCGAACTTGAGGTTTGATGCTTTCTCTTTGATTCTCTCTTGATTCTAGTTGCTTGATGTTTCTTGTCTTTGATCAATGACTTCTAAGCTTGCTTAAATACACCTTGAATCACTTCTGAACGTTAGTGATAATTAATGAAGATAATATAGCCGTTTAAGTGTGAAAACATTTAATAAAAATGCTTAGAGCGTGGGGGAATCGGTACCCTCTCATAGGGAATCGGTTCCCTAAGTGTAAAATTCAAATATTTCGACCGTTGAATAGGGGGAATCGGTACCCCCATGGGGGAATCGGTTCCCTCCGAGCATTCTGGAAATCTCGGAGCCAAACCATTCAGTGAGGAATCGGTACCCCCTTGGGGGGGAATCGGTTCCCTATGAGCAATCTGGAATATTAAAATCGGTTTTTTTATAACCGGTTTTTTAAAAAAACCGGTTTTTTTAAAACCGAAACCGGTTACACCGGTTAGGATATCCGGCCCTCCAAACCGGTTAGAAACCGAACCGGTTATTTTATAAACCGGTTTTTTTTCTATGGGAAAAAACCGGATCGGATAAAAACCGATCCGGATCGGATTGAAATCCGAATTATGTGCAACCCTAGTGCCGATAAAAGAAACCTATTGTACAAAGTCAGTTAACGTCACGAATTATTGAAATACTCATCCTTTCCTATGGTTTGAGATTTCCTATTCTATTACACAAATTTGGAAGAAAATTCATATTTCTACCCTTTGCCTTCATTTATAAAATACAAACAAACAGAGCAGAAACAAAAGCCAAATAAAGAAAGAATGTTCAGTTAACCAACCCGTACCTTTCATACCAAAGAATGAATAAAGTCACCTTAGTGTCTCTGCATGTTCAAAGAATGTACATGGCAGCTTTCAACTCTGTTGATTCTTGATAGCACCCTGCGCCAGTGATTTCACGGTCGTATATTTAATGAACGTGCAATGCTTCTTTCGAGTGTGACCAATTTTTTTAATCAACACATTCTGGAATCAAGGTGTCAGCCAGATATATTGCAGAAAGAGATACAAGGTGAAACTGCACACACAACTGGGATATCAATAGAAATTTGGTTGGACGGCAGGGACCAAGATGCCAGCATTCAGTTCCTGTATTCAGCAAATGACCAACATAGTGACCATAAAGGTGGTTTTCCCAACGGTATAGCCTTCCGATTTATTTCTTATTACCTTTGAAGCATGTAAGCTGATCGGTTAGGGCAGGGTATTATTTCATACATCCCCTATCCCGAAATCATGCACCTCCTAGCAAGAAAGTACAGGAACCAGTTTCACACTCAGATCTTTAAAAGGTAACCGAGCCTTGAGCAAAACTTCATCGGTGCCCCTGCAAATACTCTTATCTTGCTCTTCATAGGGCAGTATAGCTTAACAAATAATTCAAGAGGCGATGCACTTGATCCTTGCGAAGCCAAGAGCTCTTTACACATTTCAATCACGAGGCTTAGAAATGAAGTTATGCTCCAAAGCACTTCACCATGCACAAATAAAAATCAACAGCTAGGAATCTCTTTTCCCCACAGCACCAGCAGAATTTTGCTTCTTCAGTATACCATATTGCCAGGGATTCCTAGATTTATCACCTGACTGATCAAAATCATCCAAGGAAGTCTCTGTTGGTGTTCTCAATGGCCGATAATTCCCATTCCTAGAAATTACTGATGTGCCTGACTTGTCTTCATCTTCTGATTGTGTTCCAGACCTGGAATCCATGTACATATCTAATGATCTGTGTCTTGGTCCAGCAGACCTTAAACCCCTTGCACTAGAAGCCTTACTTTGTGAAGGGTAACCAAGTCCCCTTGGCCCCGAAAAATCTTTGGAGAGTAAGTCTTTTGCAAACTCCTTGGGCAGAGAATCCATGTTCATAAAACAATTCCTAGATTTGGCATCAGCGATTAAGGCTGCCCAGTCATCAGATTGCACCAGAGAATTTGCATTTCCCATAACCTGTTCAAACATCAATGTCAAATCCAGAAAATAAGCAACATCAAGCAGTCAGAGGATGCTCTGACCTAGAATGTGATAGATAGAAGAGCAGAAGAAAGAACTCATACCCACAAAGCCCTTCTGGCACGAGTAAGGGCAACATTCATTCGACGAATGTCAGCAACAAAACCCACACTGTGACCCGAGGCCCGGACACAAGACATAATATGACATCACGCTCCTGGCCTTGGAAAGCATCTACAGTATTAATATATAGATCCTTCCCTTCCTCTGACTTTAGCACACTGTCAAATTCACGTTGTATACATTTTAGTTGCAGTTTGTATGGTGTGATAATACCCACTGTGATTTTTAGCACACCCATAGATTTTAAAGTTCTCTGTAGATGCTCATACAAGCGCAAACAAACACAGCTTCATGGACATTCTGGTATGAAACAGATCCACCTCTATGGGACTCCCGGCCATGCGTAATATCATAGAACAAATAAGGTTTAAGCAAAGGGTCCTTGTAGTAAACCTCATCAGGTAAGTTGGCAACACTTTCGCTATCGGAAAGACGTCCTTGGTAAAAGTACCTAGAAGGAAAATCCCTAATTTGAGGGTGCATCCTATATTGCACAGATAACAACATAGTTGGGCATCCTGCTTGCTGGAACCTTTCAAAAAGGCTTCTACTGTATAAGAGGGTACCAACAGCCTTGCTAATGACTGTTGCAGGAAGCTGCTGGGGATCCCCTACAAGTACACACCTTGCTGCACCAAGAGAAAGGGGAGGAAGAACTCCAACTTCACTGGCTTGGGCAGCCTCATCAATAACAACCATATCAAACCATGGGTAAGGCGAGAGAACAACTTACGACCACTACTAGAGACCGTAGTGAAAACAATTTCTGCCTCATTGGCAAAACTGGCCTCAAGGTTAGCCCGGGCTTCTTCTAAGTTGAAGTTACTTCCGGCACGGAACCTGGGTTCTAAAATAAGAAGTCGAGACATCTCAACTAGAACCTTATCTCTGTTTTCAACAATTGCAGCAAGATTTTGTAGCAATACATCTCGGCTCTGATCTTGAGCAACAAGAATATCAGGGTCAACACCAACAGATCCTTGGGACCGAACAACAACAGCTGCAGCAGTAAGTTCCCTTTGCAGAGTAGCTATCTGCTGAGATAACATAGCCTCACGAGCCCTTAAAGTGTTCATATGCCCTAAGATTTCATCACGATTCTTGAGTAAAAGCTGCTCAGTTCTCCGCTCAACAGAAACTGCCTGAGCAGCCTTTGTTGAGAGTCTACCCCAACTCGAGCCACATCAGGACGGTAGATTTTCATCTCACCATCAATAAATCCTCGATCGAGGACACGTGAAAGAAGCTCATCAGTTGCAGCATTCGAAGGAGCACAGACTAACATTCTGGGCTTTTGGCAGAGTTTTGGAAGGGTGCGGAAAAGATTCTGGTCCATATTCTGAAGTACTTCATCAATTGATCCCATTGGAACATTGTCAAGACTGTTCTCATTAGTTTGCTTATAGCTCTCAGGTGCTAGGTTCTTAAGCAAAGAGGTATAGTAGTGTTGATATTGAACCAGATGTATGACATTTAGCATCCCCCAGACCGTATGCGTCTTACCTGTTCCAGGAGGCCCTTGAACAAGAGTAAAAGGCCATGGCTCTTGCCTCTTTGTCCCGCTACTTGTTCCAGCAGCTGTATGAGTAGCTGCCCACTGGATTGCTGCAAGCTGAGGCCCATTAAAGGTCCTATGCAAATAATCAACAAAATTAGGTGTGAAGCATTCAGGCATAGCAAGAGTTTGCTGCTCATATTTGGGAAAGTGATCAGGACTCGGTTTGAGTATTGCAGTTTGCATCTGTACCACGAGAAATTTTATTAATCATAAAAATACATCAAGCAACAAGAACTACCAATAGTCTTTGAAAATAATAAATAAGCACCTTCGAATTAAGACGACAAAATGCATGCAGTGCCACATACTCCCGCTGGGTAGTTGCAAGAGATCCAAGAACAGTTAGATTCCAAATGGCCTTAGGCTGAAGTTTCCGCAGAATGTGATCATTATCAGCCTTGCTGTAAAATTAATGTTATTTTGCCATTAAAAACGGTGCTAAATAAGCTTTTGCAATAGTCTATAGTAGCGCAAAAACAACAAAATATTAATAAGTGATGCTTCTCGAGTTACCAGTTGGAATCATAGGAATCCCCAACATAGAAGTGAAGAATTGCACCAAGAGGATCACGAGTATCAATAGGTATGTGCCGCCTAGCAGTACCAACCACACGTCCGGCAACCTCAGCCTCCTCATCTTCTTCAATTAATGTGTTGTTCCACTTAGTTCTAACTATTTGGTGCAAAGTAAACAAACCCAAGGTATAATATTTATGAATTTCTAATTATTACCAAATAATTCTGGGGGGAAAAGCCTAGATCAATATCATACCTGAACCCAGCCTTGGGGCCCACAAAACTGCAACATCGCCCTCCTTGAATACCCACTTGCACTCATTAGTAGGAAGCACTATCACATCATACCATCCTAAAAGCAAATACAATTTGTTTTGCCAATTAACAAAAACTAATAGAAGCATTTCCCAACAACTGACCTTGTTTCTACACTAGACCCAAAATGTTATTCAGAATCAAATTTCAAAACTATTAATTGTCAAAATTAGTAAAACCCGCCACAAAATTTAACTACTTGAACTATGATAAAGACAGAAAGAAACTAAGAGTGTAAATAGGAACTTCTACCTCTTTCTCGCCTCTCAATGCTTTTGATGCGGACCATTATATGTGTATCTCTTGAAGGTGATTCAGTTAACTCTTCCCATGTGCTGTACAGTTGTGCACGGCATTCCTCAAAAAGCAAAGGCTCAAATACATTGACATACTCTTCTACAGATTCAAACCGCCCAGGAACGCACTGCAGTTCAGTATCCTCTGATGCATGCAGCGATAAATTTAATGGTCAAGTGTAAGGGCTAAAAGGGGTACAGATAAAAGAAATAATAAGGGAGGAAAAAGAAAGACCAATTGAAATCTAACCTAACACTTAAAAGAAACCAGGCTGTCATAGTATTCATAATGCAGAACCTAAAATGATAAAATGCAATCTAGTAGCTGCCAAACAAAAAGAAAGCAGGAACTTCCCTCACTTGAATATATATGTTTTTTTATATAGTATAGTATATCAATGGCCTAAAAATCATACAAATTATTAAGGCTTAATTTAATGATATTTAATGTCTGTAACTCAAAAAGTAGAAAATAGAAAATATATACCCTAAGAAATCTCATACAAAGTGCATGCACCAGCAATAAAAAACTACAATGGCTGTTTATTCAATTACAATATGTTCTACTAAACACAAAATTCTACAAGAGCAATAATTGAGTGGTAAGCTAGGAAGCTTTCCAAATATGACACATGAATAATCTCTATGCAATAGAAATTATCTCAGAAAAAACCAGAAACATGAGTACTAATGCTAATGGACATTGCAAATAAATCAGTAGCAACAATACAATGAAAATCAGCTTTCAGAGTAAAAATACATCTCATCACCTTCCATGTCCTCTGAGCGTTACCAATCTCATAGAGTGATAATTGAAGGGACATGGATAACTGGCATGAGAAAAATAATAAAAACCGTAAAGGCAGGCAAGAGGAAAAAATGAATATGAATATTTGGAATTAAGAAGTTTAATAGTCAAAGGTTATCTGTAAACATATATGTATTTTTACCTGGGGGATGCCAAAACTTTTCATTCGTCACCTCTCGTATAAGACGTTCCACAGATGTGTCTTGATATGAGGTACCAGTAGAAGTTGTCTTTTTAGAAGGAAAATGTTTCTTGTTTACCATCTTAGTGTCCATGGAGCTTTGGTTTATTGAAGCTGGCTTCCTATTAGAAAACTGTGGATTCTTAAGCGGCCTTGAATCTAAGGGTTGCTTCCATGAACTCTGCCTCGGAATTGGCAGTAATTGAGCCTCTGAAAGATCAATGTCACTATTTAACCTCTTAGGCCTGCCAAGTATTCCAGAATTTATACTACCATTACATCCAGGTTTTAGATTACATGAATCAACTGGGGGGTTGCTTCCTTCATTACATGGTAACTCAACTTGATTCTGATCTTCATTTATTGGCTGACCCTGCTTTTCTCCAACATTTCCACCGAGTTGAGCAGTACGAACTTCTTTCACAGTACGAGTAATAACGGGCGTTGACGAGTTCTGCCTTCTTGTGATAGAAGTTTTGATGGGACCAGCTTGTTTAACATCCTCCAAATTAAGAAACATGGTCTTCCTATTCCGTTTCTTTCCCAGCATTGCTTCTTTCTGCTCGTCTATCTTCCTCTTTCCTGGATTATTCGCACACTTAAGAGCATAACTAGCTTCAATACCTTTAACTTCTCTTTGTTTAGGCAACAAGCCAGGTTCTTCCTGACGATCAACAGATATATCACCTTTAGCTTTGCCTTCTGAATTTCGGCTAATGTTTCCTTTCTGATCACTCGGAATTTGTTCCAGTCTTAATGGAGTATGACTCTTTTCAGTAGCACTAACAGTGTCAACCGTCAGACCTAAAGCATTTCCTTCTGAATTTCGGCTATTGTTGCCTTTCTGATCACTCAGATGTTGTTCCAGTCTTAATGGAGAATGACTCTTCTCAGTAGCACTAACAGAGTCAACAGTCACACCTGAAGCACCAGTTTCCATCACTTCCTGTACACATTGCTCTAGTGAAGCCTTAATCTCTTCATGGATATTACTATTTCCATGTGCATCAGCAGAACCCTCAGCATCAGACCATTCACCTTCTTCTCTTTCCACAGGTTGAGCATTAGCAGAACCTGAAACAGGCGAAGCTTCTACATGAGCTTTTCTCTCCTCACTGTTACTTGACTTTGTAGATGATGATGCCAAATTAAAATTCTGCTCGCCTCCCCTCTTGGGTTCACACCTACTTCAGGGAAAGTAGAGATTTGGGTCGCATAAAAGGCTGAAAACCTGAACCAGATGGTGCATGTGAGAATGCACGGTTATTTACTATTCTTTCAGAGCCTGCTGATGTCACAAACAAGTCAGGGGCATGGCAACTTGCAGATGGAAGTGCCTTTTGTGGCTGTAAGCAGGCAGCATGATCACAGTCTTCATCATCTTCAGCGGGGGTTCATTAAGATCAAATAATAGTCTTCCTCGGGAACCCATTTCATATGTAAATGCATACAAGAAATACGACTATCTTATCAAAATCTAACTGGCTCTATTTGCGCTTTTGTTTCAGAGAAGACAGCACGTCATGCCCCTCTACATATAATGAAATTCATCAGAATAACTGATATAGATAATTCAAAAGCAAGGTAGCCAAAGAAGTATAAGTTACCAGGTAAGAAACAAGAGATAAGATTAAGACACAAGGCAACATAGTTGCTAAATATTTCAACCAAGACGTATGCAACTATTCTATCATAAAAGGAAATCCAAATGATAATCAGCTTAACCATCAAAAGGACATCAGAGAAAATCAACATAACCGTTATTACTAATAAGCAGTTCTAAAAAAACAAAAGCAAAATATAAGATTACCCAAAATATAAAAAACAAAATCATTCAAACCAGTGCCGGACAAAAATATAAAACATAAATAATCAGAATAAAGCAACAAGGAAAATTCTGAAGGTGCATTGAAGCTCAAGCAATATCAATCAACACCATATAGTACTTAGAGTAAGCAGATAGTTTGAACCTAATTGAATGAAACGCGAACATTGCTAGAAGAACCTGGAGAACTTTACCAACCCCCAATCATAACTGACTAAAAACTTAAAGGAACTTCAATCAAACTAGATTAGAATCATAAGATCCATAAATTAGGCTAACAAAAGTATAATTTTAATAAGCAGATAATAGTTTCACCTAACCAACCCTCAAGTCACAGCCAGATCAAAAATCCATAATCCAATAAGAAGTCCAGGGTTTTAAACAAGTATACAATCAAAACAATTAAGCTCCATTTTTGTTCATTTCTAGCGAATCCTAAAACAAAATATAATTAAAACTTCCGTAGATCAAGACAAGAAACCTAATAACTAGTTGAAACACGTCAAAGAAAAATTATCCAAAGAAAGCATTAATCCAAAGGTCAAAATCTCTGATCTTCGATTCAAGAACGTCTAATTACATTCCTCAATCATTATTCCAAAATTAGAAACATATAAATCCCCGACAGGTACAAAAAAAAAAAGAGATAGAAAAAAAAAAAGAACAGTAGAAAGATAGAACATCAATTTCAAAAATTTTATTCAATTACTTCACTTTGTTTACCTCCTGAGAGCTGCTGGGTGCTGCAGATAGAGAATGGAGCCAAAGAGAGATTCAGGGAGAGAAAGGGAGATAATAAGGCAGAGGTTCTTTCTTTCCCTGTTGGAAATACAATGCAGAATGGAAAGGGAAAAAGCGGGTTTATATAGGGAATAACGAGCCCCTCTGAGCGGCCGGTTTTTTCTCCGTTCACTATTTAATTATTTCCCTCATTAAAAAAATAAATCCCACTTTTTTTTTTATTTTATCATTTATATGAAACCGAATTCACGAAATTGACCCTCTAGCATAACCCAAGTAAGCAAACCAAAGCGATCCTTAGGTTAATGTTTGGAATTAGGGAAATAGAGGATGGTTTTCGTTGCGTGTATAAACTCACACGAAACAATCCTGTGCTGTAGGGACCTAATGACGTGGATTTGCTTAAATTGCATAGGTCCATCAAAGTACATATATTTTTTTGGGTTAAATGGTATATTAAGCCCTTGAAGTTATCTTATTATTATTTTGAATTTATTTTAAATGGTATATTATTTTAAATGGTACATATATTTAATTTGAATTCATAGATAAATGTACTTCTACTATTACAAATTTATTAAAAGTATAAAACCTAATTTGAGTAGATTTTTTCTATTCAATTTTTAATAATCAATTTTTTAATATTTTTAATATTTTTCAATTAAATTTATATATGATATTTTATGATACTAATTCAATCAATCACTTAATAAAATATATAGATAGGGGTGTTCAAACAGTTAATTCGGTCACCGACCGAACTAAGTTACCATTAATCGAACTTGTTTTCTTTAACCGTTAATCGAATCAAACTTTTTTTAAAATATTAACCGAACCGAATAAAGTTCAGTTAGTTAATCGAATTAACCTAATTGTTTTTATAATTTTATTTAGTTAGATTAATTTGAATATAATAAAAGTATTTCTTTTATTTGGGTTAAAATTAGGTGTTAATAATTTAATTAGTCTAGTGTGGTTAAAAAATAACTTGGTCTTAATTTTTAATGGGGTTGAGCTTAAAAATATGTAATTAATATATATATATATATATATATATATATATATAATATTTTTTATTTAATAATTCAGTTAATTAACTGATTTCGAACCGAATTAATCGTTAACCAAATATTGAAAAAAAATATTAATCGTTCTCTGATCAAACTAATTCGGTGTCCGACCGAATTAACCGAACTAATTCGATTCAGTTGGTTAATTTGATTAAAACCGAAAAATAATCACCCTATATATAGATTCTTTTTATTCCCATATTTTAAGAAAAAAATATGAGATATTGGGGAAAAAAAGATTCTAGATTAGTCATCAGCTATCATGCATATCAGAATGAATGTATGTTAAAAAGAATTAACATTAAACTCATTTTAATTAAAAGAATCATTTAACTTTTTATTTAAAAGGTAGTCGACCCCTGACTATTAGTAGTAAAACTTCTTTTAATAAGAAAATAAAAAACAGCTTTTTACTTGCAACTATTGATTCACTCAAACGAAAAGTTAAAGATTCAAATATATATATATATATAAAAGATGGGTGGTTGATGCATGTATTCGACAAAACAAACTTAAGTTAAAAAAGCTCACCACTCGGGCTTAGTCGTTCATGCGTGTATATAAGGATAGACTGAGCTGAGAAAGTAAGATAATCATTCTATAAAAATAAAAAAATATTATATATTTTAGATATTTTTATATATTTTATTGATAATTAATTTTGAGATGACTATCCAGCTCAGTTGGTAGAGCACAAGGTTCTTAACCTTGAGGTTGTGGGATCGAGTCCCACGGAGGGTATTTCATAATTCGGAGGTCTTCTACGGAAACTGCTCTCAACCTGGTGTTAGGGGCAGCCTACTATCTTACTTACCCCTTACCCCATTACATATGAGAACAAGTAACAACCATTTATTGATAATTAATTTTCATCTTTTAGAATTTTAAAAATTTATCTATTTATAAAATTTTTAAAATTTTACTTCCTTAATATAAAATATTATGATGAAGTTGACATAAGATTTGATGCCTAAAATTTAATGTTCTTGCAAGCACATGATTGATGGTTAAAGCTTGAATTTCATTATCTCTTTTTTTACTGTTCAAATGTCGGGTATTTGCTTTAGTACATGATATTTACAAACTTAACTATCATCTCCTTGCTCATATCCAAGTGGTTGTGTTATATAGACTTCCTCATCCAAGACATCAGTAAAAAAGGTGGTGTTATTATTGACTTGTCTTAACTATTGAGAATGCAGAAAACAAATGAACAATACTTGTATATTGAATACTAGAACTCTGCATTGAATACAAGATTGTTGTTGTTTATATACATCTTCTCTTGACTAATGTAACAACCTTAACTATTCAACTAACCATGCTAACATCCTAACAACCTTAACTGTTATAACAACTTCAAGAAGCTTCTAACTATTTAACTAATGATCCCATGTAGTCTAAGCTCATACACGTTGCAGTACTAACAGCATTGATGTTGACTCATCATGCTAACATTCCCGATACTTCTTCTTCTTTTGTTCTTCTGACCTTGAACACACTATTACTAGCTATACTAGAGTACAAGCAAGTACACAACAAGCTCTAAAAACTAATTACAACTAATTTCTAACATTCTCCCTACTTTCTCAACCTTCTTGACAAAAAGTTGAACACTTAAATCAAAAGTGTCGATGCCTCCTTCCGTTCGACTTGAATCGAAAGTGTCGATGCTTCCTTCCGTTCGACTTGAATCGAAAGTGCCGATGCTTCTTTCCGTTCACTTGAATCGAAAGTGTTGATGCTTCCTTTCGTTCTTCTTGTTCACCTTCATTTCTTTCTTATTCGTCCTCTTATACAAGGTTCCTTGACATATATTTTTTTTCCTTTTTTTTAAAGGACTATATTATCATACTTATTACAAATTCACCCCAAGAAATTATATCCATTTTGCTTTACCAAATTGAAAAAAAAAACAGGTGATGCAGTAAACCACGAACACATTCAAATGAAGAATAGGACCACCGCCGGTTTAACACGCCTGCTACGGCTCATATAACTGGTCCTGCACATCCGAAGTCCAGAGAGTAAGATTATCCCTTAGCAGATGCATTATAAGAGTGTTGTCCTTGTATGACTCTTCTCCCAGTGTGGCAAGCTCAGCAATGGCTTCCTCGAAAGCATGTTTAGACATGCTATATACTTTATCAAACTGATTGAGAATCTCATAGTAGAACACCAAGAAATTCAGAGCTAGCCCCAATCTAATCAGGTGCGTTGGTGCTAGACCCGCCAGCATAATATCCTGAGCTGCCTTGTAAGACAACATAGTATCTTCAACAACAACTTTCCTCTCATCACCAGCCTTAAACTCTACCAAATAACGATGATAATCTCCTTTCATCTTCAAATAGAAAACCTTCGAATCACTAGCGATAGTAGAAGGGATCATATTTGATTCTAATAAAGTCAAGATACTAGCGTAAACATCTGGCAACTCAGATTCAATCTTCGATCTATACTCCTTGACGAGCACAACGTGTTCCTCGTTCTTTCGACCTTCTTCTTTCTACTCGATCAAAGAGACTATTCTCCACACAACACGTATAGATCCGGTCACGTTTTTAAAGGCGATGGAGAGAAGGTTCTTTTTCTAGTCGGTTAGTTCGCCGTATAGAGTTGAGCCGAGGACCAACTGTTGCATGAACTGAATCATCTCCTTGTAGCACTCGGCTTGCTCGGATAGCTTAGCTAAGTACACGTATTGATTACGACTCAGGTTATTGGGGATCGTCGTTTCCATTTGCAAGAATTGGTGACCTTTCGAGGGAAACAACATCAACGACGGCAGAAGCAGTCATGATAGAGCTAACGAACTCCATGCAGCGAAAGAAAAACAAAGTCAAGACCGTTTGGCGAATGATACCATATTGAGAATGAAGAAAACAAATGAACAATACTTGTATATTGTATACTATAACTCTGCATTGAATACAAGATTGATGTTGTTTATATATAGCTTCTCTTGACTAATGTAACAACCTTAAGTATTCAACTAACCATGCTAACATCCTAACAACCTTAACTGCTATAACAACTTCAAAAAGCTTCTAACTATTCAACTAATGACCCCATGCAGTCTAAGCTCATACACGCTGCAGTACTAACAACATTGATGCTGACTCATCATGCTAACATTAACGTCCACCCTTTGGTTAGGGTAAGAGAAATAATAACACGAATAGTGGTCAGCTGAACCACTAGGCTGAAGATTTCATGAAAATCAATGCCAGGCTGCTGAAGAAATCCTTTAGCGTTGAGCCAAGCCTTATATCAAGCTATGAAACCGTCTACGCTTTTCTTAACCTCGAACAACCACTTGCAATGAATAACCCTCCAATTCGATGGAAGAGGCATGAAAGTCCATATGTTATTCTTTATCAAGGGTAGAAATGACGACGACGGGGCGAGCCATAACTCGAGGTAAACTTACCCAATTTGGTCGATGATGAATGTGTGGTTGCGCTAAGGAGAACGACACGACACAACTGCTAAGTCTGGTGGCTTTACTTGGACAGCCATGGTGGCGCGATGATTGTAGAGGGAAGCGGTGATCAATTGAAATAAAAAAAAGAGGGAAAAGAATGAAGCAAGTAATCGTTCATATTACAATGCTAGAGGTAGGGTTCACCTCTAATAAAAATTAGGTTATTTATTCCCTGACTTCTCTAGGGTTTTTTTGATGGCCCAAAACTTTGTTTCCCTTACAAACTGGTCACCAAAATTCAATTCATGGATTGAAGGAAAATTCCCAATTTATGAGGTTTGAAATAGGGGAAATTGGGGTGTTACAAAAGGAATTTATGTGAATGAGATAAATGGAGAAGTCAAACGCAAGTGGAGAGGAATTCCACTAGTATGGTAATCAAAATTCAACTAGACTCAAAAAATTAAATTTTTTGACTCGATTCAGTGTTAAGAAAACTTGATTTAACTCGACTTGCAATTATATAAATTTAACTCAACTTGAAAAAAAATTCATATTCAGGTCGAGTTAT